CCAAATGACACATCTCGATCGAAACTTATCGAGAGAAAATTGTTGAATGACAATGATTCATTCCAAATTTTTCGTAAAAAAGGACAAACTTTGTCTTCGAAGAACACAAAATATTTCATATTTTGCTATCGTCTACGATCTGTTTCTAAAGAAAAAGTTCGATTTGGTTAACTTCCATCGAGCGTAGTTTCCTTTTCTGAAAGAAAGGGTTATAGAGTTCTAAAATCGGTGGCTCAAAAGCTAAAATTTTCTGAGTTTGTTCAATCCAGTCAGATCGCAGCTTTTTCTAAACTAATGAAACCTTAGTGATGACCATACGGAAATGATTCACCCGAGGTAATCAAGGTCGAGGATCACGAATTCGGTATTAGTTTTTCCGTAAAAGTTATCTGTCCTGTTTTTTGCGACAACAGTTCATTTTTTTTGCAAAAAGAAATTTTTTTATAAGGGTTGACCGAAGGGTTTTTGAAGTCGAGGAACTCGAATCCGGTGTTAGTTTTCCGAAATCCCAAATAGCTAATTACTATTTAAGCCACGAAAAATTTTTCGATTGTCGAGTGAGGTTTGATCTAAGGGTACTTGAGATCGGAGATTTCGAATCCGAGGTTAGGTTTTCCTTATTCACCGAGGTACGGCTTCTTTTTTGCTCTTTCCAAAACAGATATGTTTCCGTATCTTTTCTAAAGTCCTGTACAGGAGATGGTAGGTTAAACACTATCCCTGGATATAATGGAATACAGCCGAGAATGTTCCTTTGCTTTTCATCCTTCTGCGTGAATATATCAGAGGAACGAAAAAGAAAAGTATATTTCGTCTGAGGGCATTGTAAAAAGAATATTCTTGGCTATTACCATATGATGTGTGCGAAGATAGCAGTTTGGACATTTGCACCAAAAGACTTTTGTATATCTTACATAATGATGTTTGCAATTCAAGATCCCAGAAGAAATAGAATGAAATTCAAATCATTCTTTTGTCTTTCAACTTGCGGCACATCTTGTCTATCGATAGGATTTTAGCGGAAGTTGGTCTCCAAAAGTATAGTCGTCAGTGTAGTTCTGTACCATTATCTATCGAGACAACGCCTAAGCATATATTAATTTGAACATATGAGGCACTAGGATAGGTGTTCTTTAGAAACCAACTCTTAAAATAAAAAGTTTCTATCTAGTTTCTTTTTGGCAGTCAAATGCATAGTGAGTCTCTAATTTAGAAGCAAGAATGAGAGGAAGCGTAGTCAGTCACTTTGAGAATTAATCCAAAGTGTAAGGCTTAGTAGGTATAATCATGGAAACGGCTAGCCGTGAGTGGCCGACGAACGACTAGGCGTTTATTTGAGTAGCTTAGAGAGGATAAAATCAGTGAAAGTAAATGGATATTTGACTTTGAATACCTGAAAGTGGGTCTATGAATAGATGTTTAAAGGCAGTGTTCACTTTGCCTATATCTTTGAACAAATGGATTCAGAGTAATTTGATATGAATGAAGTAGAAAAGGATTATAAGGAAATAATACGCATAAATGTGGCTCCAAATTGAAGTCGATTAGATTGAAATCTAAGTGAGTTTTTATCCACTACTTTTGTTAATTCTTTCAGAAAAGGGTCAGCGAATCCAACGGATGAGTGCTACTTGTTAATACAGAGGATTGGGGAAATGTTCTCCACGGGAGGGAATTGCTATGATTTCAGAAAGCAAACGTATTGAATTTTATATCAGATGGAAGTCCGTAAAATGTGGGGTTTACTGATGCGACAAAAACGGGATTGAGTAAGGGTGTGGTGAAAATTTTTTATGATTGGAGCCGATAGAGCTCGTCGAGTTTGATCTGGAACCAGTGTTAAAATCGCGATCGGTGCCCAGGTAGAAAAATTCGGCTCGGAAGCGACCGGTGTCGGATTTTTCCGTAACATTCCACCGTACCATAACCTACCGGAAATCACAAAAACCGACCAAATCCGAAATAATCACTAAACACACCACTCAAGTGCAAATACAAGACAAGATCTCACACTAATAAAAACCCACGAACCGATGCCATCCGAATCCATATTCGTATCAACAAAAAGAAAACTAGTACAAACCTTCCGAGGGTCTGCAACTAGCTACACATGGCTAATATAATAAATTGCCCTACTGACGCTTAAACTAAAATTCGATCGCAAGATTACAAAATACAAACAACCCGGATTGCAGCATTGCATTGAAATCCCGGTTGCAATCGGAATACCAATCCTGAAAAATAACTTATACATTTAGAACTGACTTTTTCGTTATGAATTGTAATCTGGATGCCATTCTGGACTAGTAATACTAAAAAACTGGTGGATCTCTTGTTGGTTTTTTTTAGGTCGGTTTTTGCAGGCAGTTTGATGTTGATAGCGGAAAAAAGTTGGAAAAGGTGGGATTTGTAGTTTTATGTTTGTTCACGGTTGGTTACGTTTCACCGGTTCAGATGGGTTCTTTTCAGTTAGGAGCGGTTCTCGGTTTAAGGAAACGGTCGAATACTTGGTGTGATGCGGGAAGAGCAAGGATTTTTTCGGAAATATGCGGAAAGTTTTTTGGCGATTGCAATAGTTTTTGTTTCCGTGGGGTTATGTCCGAAACCGGCTGTTTTTATGTGGTGTTCTGTTTTGTCTGATTTTGGCGGCATTACTGTTTTCCGTCGGGAGCTCTCCGAATATGACGAGAGCGGCTCGGAATGAGCCGGAAAAGGGTTGCTTTCCTTTCGGTTCCGGTAGCCGGAACGTTCGTTCTGGGATACTCCTTGCCCATATTCGGTTATTCTGGTAATTTGGTCGACGAACAGTTCAGACATAAAATTCGTCAGATGGTGCTAGATAAAGGAAATCTTCTTCAATCCAGTCTTTCAACCAATCGCATAACCATGATCGAGCTGATATGTAAGTTTCTGATTTCAATGATTATGCGATAGCATGGAATGGTTTTAGATCTTCTCGATCCCAGTAGTTGTTGATTGTCCTTCGAGTGACATGTTTTTTTTTATTTCCCCGCAATTTCCTTTGCCACAATACAACAGCTTTTCCCTTGTCGACTACTAGCTTTCGATAGTTTAATCTTTCAATCGACAGTTGAATAGTCAGCGAAATATTGGTCATACGATTTTCCCTGCCACTCGGCGACAAATCGAACAGAATGATGAACTTTTTCTGGAATCCAACTTCGATTGATGAACGTGGCACCAGCATCTCGGACTTCACGGAAAAGAAGCAATGCACCTGAGTCGGTCAATAATTCTTTGCTCTGCCGAGTTATAAGTGTCTGCCATTGCAATGGTTCGATTCAATTGATAAGCAAAGGAATACTTCGTTTCACAAAAGTTAGAAGATAGTCGTCTATATTATCATATAAACTTCGGGAGCTTTCCTGTTCTCTTACTTTCTAACAGAAAAGACAAAATGGAGGTGTCTTATTTGTCACTGGCACGATGAACGAAAAGAGAGATCTTTTCGTTCTAACGATAGCCAAACTGAAGATAGCGGTATTCACATTCAGTAGGTTAAAATTACCGTCCTTTTGGTTATTGCAAGAAACATTTCTGTTATTCTCTGCTCCACAGCGTGTTGAAAATAAAAGATAACAATTCATAATATGAAATTCATTGAACTTGAAGAGTATTATTATATGAAAGTTTACTCAATTCCATATTTTACGGGCTTTCATCTGATATAAAATTCAATGTGTTTTCTACTTGAAATCATAGCAGTACCGCCCATGCAAAACATTTTCCTCGGCCCTGTAGATGAAAGTCCTCATATGTCTTCTTTTTGTTGGAACAACAATAGTCTGCAGTGGTGGAATAACTACCCTTATCACAACACCAGTGAAAGCAGCAGGCGAGTTTGCGCTGAAAACAAGTACAAAAGTAGCACTGGCCAGTACTTGTTGGCATACGTTCACTAGGATCTTAACCAGCGATATTGCTGATAGACATCAGTGTTCTGACGGCAGCTGATTACAATATTTCGTTCTTCTGAAAAACCTGACAGCAGGAAAAATGCCACATATTGTTCAGGATCCAATACGAATAACAATAGCACTGGTAGTGCTGGTGGCGATGGGGAAGATGAAAGAAATTTTAATGGAAAAAAGCAAGACGAGCATGAACGCAAAGAAGGTTTATTTTATCTTTAATTAGTTATTTTTCAGTTAATGATAGCAATATACACAATCAGTCTCTGTGGTGTCGTCAGTTTTGATTGTTTCATAGTTTAGTGAATGTAAAACTTTCATGAAATATTTCAATAGTAAAATAGTGACTTCTTGAAACCTAATGATTATACTCATATAGGTATCTTTTTACTTTTCTCATTATTTCTCTTCATTTATTCTAGTTCTAGTAGACGAACTTGACAAACTATAAAAAGTTACTCTTTTGGGCCTGGAGGCCGAGTGGGAAGTTTAGGTGCAAAAGTTGCATTTAGGCATTTATGTATAGGTTCAAGAGTTAGTTGTGGATATACGAAAGACGTAAAAAGATTTATTAGACCTTTAGATGGATTTTTTGAAGGAGCAAAATGGCTAAAACCACTATAATGCATATGTCAAGATTCGAGTGCAGTTCTTCTATAACGAAAGCAATAAGAATATACCAGTTGGTTTCAGATACCTAAGCGAGTACTCCGATGGCAATTTTAAATACTTTAGTTTTTATAATAGTTCATAAAAGACTGGATTTTACTTCTTGTTTTGCTTATATTCTGTTTAAACCAACAAACAAATTTTTTCTGAAAAATGTGTGGCGATATCAGCATGTGGGTGTTTGGCTGTTCCAAACAATAACAACAACCACATTCTTACACGTCCATTAATTAGTATGAATTCATATTTTACATCTGTATTCAGCATTAAACGAAAATAAATATTCTTCATTTAACAAATTCATCTTTCATTTATTTACAATCATTTTTGGAGTATTTGATCATCTATCTGAACATGTAAACAGTTTTGAAAAGACTTATAAGAATCCAACACAAACGATCAGGTTTTTTTTATTTGATATATTCTTCCAATTGGCGTCCAATAGGATGCACTATTGTCTCCGCCACAATTCAAACCCCACGACACACACATATCTTCTGCTAGTGTACGATGCTCATCGCAGATATCGTCATCATTTAACGGGATTTTAAACATGGGCTCATACCAAGCTCGTGATATTGCACAGACAACTTCTCGTCCGCCAAAATATGATAAAACAAAATCGTAAAACCGCTTCTGATTCTCATAATCTGGATGATCAACTGACGGCAAACCGGAATACTCCAAGACTTTTCCATTAACGCTAGTCCAAAGAGGAATTGTTGGATCTTTTCCATCGTGTTTAGCCAGATCCTCATACGTATAAAATACGTTATCTGGAACATCAGCTATCGTTTGATATGTATCTGCCGATTTTCGAGGAATGACAGTTTGTTTGTTTTTCAACCGATTGATATAGGATGATCGTACGCCAAAGTATTCGCAGCCTTTGATAATAATATCTAAATAACGTTCGGATGGGATACCAATAGGTCTTTCTTGCTGTCCATTTGGAGTCATTTTATAGACGTAAACGAGATGTGAACGTTCTTGATAATCAGTTACAGGAACAATGATCTTTGTATACATGTGTTCAACTTGATCCAAGCGATTCATTTGTTCGATTGGCACCAAATGCACAACGCCATCAAATTCTTCGCCTTCACAAAAATCAATATCTGCCATACCACTACGATCACGAAAAACTAATCGATGGTCAAAACATTTGGCTGGATAAGACATCAATGGTGTAATATCACGTAAATGTAATGAAATGGGATTGATCATACTACCGATTGCTAAGTACCATATGTAAACATGTTGATGATCGTCAATGAAAGGTTTTCCCGGATTATCGAATGCGAGAATTTGTTCGAGAGTATGACTTTCAAACTGTTTTGTTCGTTGAAGAACTCTTTCGCAAGACTTTCGGAATGGAATGTCACTTGAATGTGAATTCAAATTACAAAATAATGTTGCAGAGGAATGATCAATAGACATGATCAGATAACGAAAATTTAGCTAGTTGATATATCAATAGTACACGTCTTTTTATACACATCGGTAATTGCGCAAATGTACGTCATATTGTGTTGAGATGATTATCATCAGTGACGAAACTGACGCAATAGAGCTGAGCAAGAATATCGAAATTGTACAGGTATTCTGTTATTTTTGCGATTGCCTTGTGTTTTGAATATCTATTTATACATTGTTTTCTTCTGTTTGCGTCATTCTTGTTTTTTATCTATTCGATACGAAAAATTAAACACAAACTTTATCGGTTGATTAACACACAAATCCATGTCAATAGAAATTTTAACATTTTTGTACTTGATCACTTTTAAGGTATATTTGTCATGCATTCATCGCCCACGAGCAGACTAAGTATTGCTAATCAATGCGTTTTTCTCATTGATTCTTTCGAAACGAAAGGAAATAACAATGTCCTTCGTTTGTGAATAATTATTTTACCTACGTCACATCGTCTCGATTGACGACACGTGAGAAAACATCTCGTTTAGAGATGACAATCTGTTTATTTTCGACAAGTGGAATGAAAATTTCTTCCAACGACAGACGTACCAATTAAAAGTGTGATTTTATTAGCCAATCGTTCTGATCATTACATCGATTGACGCTTCTAATCAGTGATGATGATCGTAAGAAAATTTCCACACAATAGTACTAATTAAAAACTCAGTAAATCACGATCTAATCCAATAAACTTCCATCTGTCGTTGAGAATCGACCGGAATTCTCAATCGGAAATCGAATATTTCACAATCGGCTACTCCTTGATCAAAGTGTATACAAAACTGTCTTTTTCCGAATACCTGCTGTGGAAACAATGTTCTTTTCCACCTCGTTAAGATGATTGATCATTTCTGTCGAACATAAATTTCTCTTTCACATTTTGTTTATGTTATTCTTTAAAGAAAAAACATTGCACATGGAAATTGTTCGATGACATGATTTGAATGTATGCTTTTTAATATTGACAAAACTGATCATATTCAATCGAAGCATCTGCAACGCGATTGAAATCGTAGCTTAATCCGAGTGTGCAAGTGTTTTCTTTATACAAAAAAAAAGAAGTCCGAATTGTTGACATGTCGATGATTNTCTCCAAACAGGTCGGTTCTCATTGTTCACATTTCTTTTATTCTTCAGTCTATTGACTTAATTCTGAAGTGGATTCTTTTCGTTTATACAGTTCAAGAGTTGATCAATGTTGAATTGAAATTGATTGATATCGAACCCAGAAAAAGCAAATCTGCCTTGGGAATACGTTTCTGGGAGAGAGAGAGAAAATAAAAATGATAATATTATCTTTTTTCTTGGCAAAAGAGAGAAGATTATTCAATGGTTTCCTCGTTTGGATTTCAAGTGCCAAGGCTTCATTCAATCGAATTAAAATTATAAAAACCCGAGAGAGAAAGAGAGAATTCTTTTGCTTTATTCTGATTGCTATCGATTATTGAATTCAATTTTCGACACTCTCTTGCCCAACGGGTGGAAAGTGACCTTCTTCTCTTTCTCTCGTGTTCTCCTCCTTCTCTCTTTCTGTTCCCATTCCATTCATCCATTGAGTTTTTTTGTTTGTTCATAAAAAGCAACTTGAAGATTGATAGATGAACGAAAGATTGACTACTGTCTACATATATTGGACAAATCAATGATTGAATACCTTATGTGCAAAGTAAGAAAGCAATTGTCCGAGTATAGTGAACAATTTGTTAGCAACGAAGCTTGTTTGGAGATTGAAAAACAACTTCATCCGGAAAATTTTCGAATGCTGACTTTGTTTTTCAGATTGATCATGTTCGCTCTCATCACTTTTCTCCTCCTCGTTCCATCGATTTATAGTCATACAATCTTCAAATATACCATTGAAGAAAAATCACCTCTCGATACAATCGTTACGGACTTTTCTCAGGAATTGAGATTGAACACATCAGCGTTCTTTCGTATTTATGAATTATTACCATTCAACGAAAACTTCTTCGCAATCGATAATCAAACTGGCCAGTTGAAAGTCCGATCTCGAATCGATCGTGACCAAATGTGTTCCAGACAACAATGCTCATGCGATTCATGTGAAATTATTCTTCAACTTCTCGTTGATATTCAAGGAAAAATTCTCTCAAAACTTGTTCAAATCAAAATAAAAGATCTCAATGATCACTCACCGAATTTTCCTTCTCAATCTATCATACCGATCATTTATATCAAAGAAAATGTTCCTCTAGGCTATCGGATCGTTCTACCCTCCGCAAACGATCCCGATGAAGGTACGTTGTTGACACTCTAGAAAAACAAAGCCCTCGAGCAAAGAAACTCATTGATATGTCTTTCTTTCGTTTAGGATCCAACAGTGTCCAGTCTTATCGATTACATGGACTAAATTCCGATGATTTCGATATTGATTTCTCTTCATTTGACATCCCTTATTTAATAGTTCGTTCTTCACTCGACCGTCACCGTCAATCATTCTATTCATTGACATTAATTGCATCGGATCACGGTGACCAATCACGTTCCGATTCCATTCAATTAGACATTCGAATTGTCGATTCCAATGATCCCATTCCCACGTTCTTGCAAACAGTTTACAATGTTGATATACGAGAAGATACAGTTATTGGTACAACAATCTTAAATATTGAAGCTATCAGTGATAAAAACGGAAAGATTTTCTATGAACTATTAACTGAATCTCCATTCATTATCGATCGTTTAACTGGACAAATTCAATTGAGCAAAGCATTGGACTATGAAAGAGAGAAATCCTATCGATTGACAATCAAAGCCTACGAACAATCGATTCCAACTTATGCAAATATTTTCATTCGTATCATCGATGTTAATGATAATCCCGTTTCCATAAGAATTTTAGTCGAAGGTAAGACTATGACTTATTTTTTTCAAAACGAAAACTAGTTTGTCATTCAGGTAACACCACATTACAACGCAAGGAGAGTGATAAAACTGTTCTTTTTACTCCGGAAAATACTCTTGTTGGCACAACAATAGCTCATGTTATTCTAAACGATCTCGACTCATTTGGTAAGTAATGGATTCGTAAGAAGAAAGAAAGTTTTCTTAAGTGTTGAAAGTTTTCAGCAAGGTCACCATTTTTCGTATATTGTTAGAGAAATAAAGTGACTCCTTCGAATGCTTTTATAAAACACTTCACGTAAAATAACAGAATTGTGTAATCCATCGCTTAGTTATTTGAGTTCATGAACAATTGAAGTTTAAGTATCACTTTGTTTGACTTATTGCTCAATTTGATCGTCGAGCTGAAAATTCTCTTACCTTGAATCGATTTTAGCTAATGGAAATCCATATCTTCAACTACGAACAAGTGAACCTCCGTTACCATTGATTTACAAACTGATATATCAGAATAATTTCCAGAATCTTAAACTATATTCCTTAATTCTCCATCAAAATCTCGATCGTGAAACCAAATCAATCTATGACAACATTCAGTTTCTTGCCTACGATTCTGGTACACCAACATTACACACACAATTAGTTGTTTCACTGAACATCACTGATATCAATGACTGTATACCGAAGTTATTGACAAATTCCAGTATTTATCAAGTTAATGAGAACAATCCAATTGGTTATTTGATCGATCGATTACGTGCATATGATTGCGATCTAGGCGATAATGCTCGTGTTGGATATCGTTTATTGAATCAAACTAATTTGTTGATATTGAATTCTCAGACGGGCGAACTGAGTTTGAATCAATCGATTGATTTTGAAAAGTTGAACAGGTTTCATGGGAAAAATCGCACGACGATCGATTTGGACTTTTTAATTGAATTACGAGATTATGGACAACCATCATTATCAAATCAAACGAAGATTACTTTACGTATTCATGATATGAATGATCACTCACCTGAATTTGATCAACATCAGTCGTATAATTGGACATATTCGAAAGAAATGCTTCAACCTGGAATTGTTCTCGGACGAATTATTGCTACAGATGCTGATTCAGGTCTATTCGGTTTTCTTCATTATTCAATTCGTTCATTAAATCCATGCTTGATTCTAAACATCACCTCTCTCGGTTATGTCTACATTCCACATGAATTTTCTATCACCAAATGTTCTCTCTCACCATCATCCACATTCGAAGTCACTGCAACAGATTACGATCCGGTCAATGCTCGTTCAACTACACAAACCCTAATCATTAACCTTCATTCCAATTCGTCACCTGAAGAATTTTTACCTAAACTTTTACCCTTATCTCTCCAACGTACAACCGTTGATGTCCATACAAAAGATCATACTGCTTTCATTATTGACATTACAACATTGAGCAATCGAACATATGAACCAAGAATTTCTTTAATTCACGGTCATTTAGTTCCATGTTGGAACATCAGTTCATCGGGTGAACTCCGTTTGATATCTCATCCATTGGCTTCGTCGTATTTCTTATCCTTCGATCTGGTCGATGATTACAAACAAAGTCATTCGATTTATAAGCTTCAAATTGACATATGTAACAGTTCAATTTTAAATTCATGTCAATTATTTCGATCATCCAATAACAAACTTGTGTTAATATACGCAATGAGTTTAGCTCTATCGATCACATTTCTATGTATCGTGATATTTTCAATTATTATCTGTTTATGCTGCCGAAAAAGTCAACAGGAGAATGACAAATTGGCATCAATGCATCATCATAGTTTTCTACAATACAACGATGATTATCACAATGAAAAAGTAGGATTTCGATTTCATAATCACAAAATCGAATACAAGTCTTGTTTTGTTCACAGATCGACACTGCAAGTGATCAATATAAAAATGCATCCGATTCAACAATCCGTGATGACGATCGTAAGCTTGACGAAGTGCAGAAGCTTTCAATGAATCTTTTGTTATATCATTTAGATGATTCAGCATGTATTGTCAATGGACATTCGGCTTCATCAACAACATCATCATCGAACGATACGTGGTATAATCGGAAAGAGTCGACTATTGAAATGCAGCCAACGTCCATATATCAATACGATATCAAATTGGCTGAATTGTTACGAAAGAATCCCAATCCGCCATGTATATATTTGAGTGATTTACCACCGATTCCTCAATCGTCAAGTACAGATTATGGATTCAGTAGTTTGAATTTGTCGAAATCATCTTCGACATCGACCATTTCCAATCATCAACCTGAAACGTTGATAGAACGTTCAACAAAAATGAAAAGTTTTATTTCATCTCATGAATGCGTTGTTTAATACAGTTAATTTTCTTCTCTTTTTGTTCAAACTCTCCCTCTATATATATATTTGTCTGTCTCTTTGCCATATAAAAAAAGAAACCTTTTACAAACGAATTCTATTGTATTCTTTGTTGACTTAAAAGAGATGAAAGTAAATGTATGTAAACAACGAATAGTAATTCAACTCAATGTATCCTTTCACGATAACTATCTGATGATATGTTTTCTACTCATTTAATCTTCACCGCCCTACAACGAAAAGAAGGTGTGCATCGAGTGAAGAGATTCGATTAAGCGAATTTGACAGAAAAGTATTTTTTGTTGCCTATGACACATTACCAATGAAAGATTCATTTTGCACTCTGTCTTACCTGTACTTCTAAATATAGGATTGCTTCGTACGTCATTTAGATTTAGGTATACGATATATAAATATACGACGCATCTAATACCCATCGAGAACTATTGAGCGTCAAAGGAGAATTGAAAGAAAAGACTCACATGGCATTATCATCGAAAGTACGCGGTACAATCGTTGCAGTGCTTGTATTTATCTTCGGAATCATTCATTTCGGTCTTGGTATTGGAATTGCTCGAGATTATAGTCGTTATAAAGATATATTTCGACAGTCCGTAGCATTGGCAATCTATGATCTTATCATTGGTATCTTTGGAACTGTCGTTGGAATTTTGAGTATAGTCGTTATTACTACACAACGAATAAATCTATGTAATTATTTCTTTTCCCAACACTTCAGTATGAACGAATCTGAACAATACATACTTTAGATCGTCCTGCAGCTATCTGTTCACTTGTGTTAGGTGTTCTCACATTAGGATCACTGATCACTGCACTTGCTCTTAATTCTCAAGCGATTGGCTATGTTCGATCACGCTTAACATATCGTATGAGCTCATTTACTTCAATTGGCGATTCGCTTTCTGTGGTGAACGACATACAAACCAGGTATGAGTGTTGTGGTGAAAATCTATGGCTTGACTGGGCGCAAGTAGTACTGAATCCTGCAAGTACGAATGCCGCTGGCGCAGTTTCAGGTCCAGGTTCAAGCAACACAATAATTACTTCAGGATCTGGGTCTACTAGTAGTCTCTCAAACTCAGATTCCGGAATCTTTGGTAGTACATCAAATTCGGGTTCCGGAATTTTTAGTAGCTCATCACAATCAAAAACTGGCAGCAGACGTCGTCGTCAGGACTGGGATCGAGGATCCAAGACTTTACAGCAACCTATGCATCGAAAGCGAGACATTTCTGTACCAAACAGCAACGGTAACATATATAATTTACCTTCGAATTATTCTATCTATCTGCCGTTGTCATGCTGCACGGGTGGAGGCACATCTAGTGGAAATAGTCTTGGGGGAGGTAAGTACCCATTTATATTGTTTAAAGAATACAGTGACCAGATCAAAAATTGATTTAGTTTGCACATTCAATGCTGGCAATGGTTCAACGAATTTCTATGTACGTGGATGTTTGGAACCCATTTCTAATACTGTTGTTTCGCAAATAACGGGCATGGCTGTTATAAACGTTTGCTTGGCTATACTCGCATTTGTATTTGTTCTGGTTTTAATGCACATGATTCCATCGGAAAATCAAGCACAAGACAAAAATGGTTTATACGATGGAACACAACAAACACAATATCAACAAGTGCAAAATAGCGGATCTATTATGAATCCTGCTGCGCCAAGTCCTTATTATAATTATTCAGCATCTTCATTTGTATCTCCAACCCACGATTATTCAAACTATGCTAATCCAACTTATACAGTTTACCAGTAACATCATTATTTTACTGAAATCTATTTTCCAGAAACTAACACTTCAATAAATCTTCGTACAGCATTTCGTAAATGCCCCATCATTACCCATACGTTTTTGACTGTTCTAACAACGTACAACATATGTAAATGAACTTGTGAATCTCTGTTGTTACTACATATTCATGTAATATTGTAAAATGTTTAAGTAAACGTAACACGTATGCTAGTTTACTAATTTATTTCGACATATTCTGGATGATTGAAAAACAATATCTCGAAGCACGTTATTTGCCTCACGTGTTTTGAGTGTACCACCTTGATTAATACACGACTCGATAACTTTTTTCTACTTTTTACCCTTCTTTTGTCCTTTATTACTTTTTCCTTATCGACATCTCTAGTCATCCGTTGCTTCTATGTATAAATCATTATTTAAACTCAAAACTATCCTTATCACCTTCGTTTCATATAATACGTAGAGCAATCGATTGTTAAACGAGTCGAAACAATCAGTTGAGAACATGAAAGCATTAAACCGTTTATTTGGGATAATCTTCACAGCATTAATTCTCATCTTTGCTATATTTCATCTCGCTGTTGGCATTAGCATTATTGTCAAAGTACGCCATTACGGAGATGTTTTCAAGCCTGAACGAGGTATTGCTGCTTTCAACATTGTTATCAGTATATACGGACTTATTGTTGGTGGGTTCGGTTTGTTTGCACAATTGACTGGCCGAGTAGCATTAAGTTAGTAGACATCGACAGCAGTTCAATAAAATTCTATTTTTTCTTCTCTATAGGTAAAGTAGTCGCATTTGGCAGCGTTGCATTAGCATTCTTCGCACTTGTTTCATTAATAACTTCATTGATTATCAATTCGTTAGCGATTAACTATGCTACCTCACATTTCAATAGTCGTATGACTGATTATAAAAATACTCAAAGTTCGAGGGACATCGTTGACTCAATTCAAGTTAACTACGATTGTTGCGGTTCGAATACCTGGTTAGATTGGTCGGCAGTTGGTCTCAATGCAACTGCATCTACTACAAATAATACTGTAACAACACAAATAGCGTCCAACTCTACGACAACTATCACTAGTGGAGCAGATAATACCACTGTATTTTCAACGACATCGGCAATCACAACTTCGACAACAACAGCGTCATCAGGTATTGGTGAAACTACTACTACATCGAGTGGTTTAGTAACATCAGGTTCTGAAACTAGCACTACTACAGATTTTTTAAGCGGAAAAATGGCAGAAGCCAATGATCAGGCTGTTGTTCGAAGAAAACGACAGGCACAATCTACGTACGGTGGTATAGTTGGTTTACCATTATCATTTAATGTTACATTACCACAATCTTGTTGTACAAACAATTTAGGATCAACAGAGAATTTAGCTAATCTGTGTAAATATCACTCTGAACAATGAAAATTTAGAGTTGTGTGTCAATTTTCTTTTAGATTGTATATCAAACGCGAACAATGTCTCCAACAATATGCATACCGATGGATGTGCGAAAAAAATCGGCAAATTTGCTGTTAGTCAAACGCTTGGTCTTGTAGTCATCAATAGTTTTCTGGTCGTTCTTTCTCTCGCCGTTATTCCATTACTTCTTCACAAAGACGACTCTCCAGATTATTCACAAAGTATGCCAATCAATGCGCAAATCGCACAATATCAACAATATACCAATGATCCATACCAATACAATTCCGCTCACTATCCTTTCGATCCATCGTACAATAATTCCTTTCAACCGACGATGACATACAGTTAAATGGACATGTGATATCAAATGAAACTGTTTTCTTTAGTTTGTCTTTGTATTTATATACATAAACGTTTTCCTATTAAGGAAGAAATATACTGTCTACATTATATTCAATTGCACGATCTTGAAAAGAAGGCTGTAATAATTGTGTTGGTATAATGAACAGTATTGATTTTGATTTGACCGAGAAGCACATGACAAAAAGATAGTTCTGTTGTTCGACAACATGTCGTCCGACAATAGATTAGACTTTCTCCTAATAACTGAATATAAATCAACAACAAATCGATCCCGAATCGAATATTTCTCTTTTGCATTATTCATTTGTTGTGATCATGTTAAGAATTAAATCTGTTCTAATCTCTAAAAATATCAACTTCGCGATCAAGGTCGTATGTGTTTTCGTTTGTGAAAAATACTTTGTATGTAAGAAAGCAAAAAACATCAAACACCATCGTTTTCATTGAGTCATAATTTGTCTGTCTTTTCTTCATGTTTCTCCATTCATGCGTTACATCGTGTCTTTCTTCCCGTTTTTCTTTATATTTGCGTGTGATTACATTTCAACGTGCTAACAGTTGCTCTTATTTTACTTGAGGTGATTTCATCGAAAATCAGTGAACTTACAGTTCGTTGTGACTATCAAACAACATGGCGATTAAAGAAAACATTTTCCCGCTGGCTATCATGACTTTAATTCTCATCTTTTCAATCATTCATCTGGGTGTTAGTATTGGTATTATCGGACAATATCGAAAATACAGCAGTTTCTTCGGTCCACAAATAGGATTAGCTGGTTATAATCTTGCTATTAGTGTATTTGGATTGGCCGCTGGTATTGTAGGTTTATTTGCATTTATGACCGACTCGCCAAAAATAGGTAAGATATTTCCCATCTCAGAATGGACTACGATATACGAATGTGAGTCTATTTCGAGTACCGAAGGTCGTTTATGTTTCCGATGAATCATCCTTATCCGATCACGGTTCGTGAATTGAAACAAATATACATATAATTTAGGAAAAATTGTCTGTGGAATATCAGCTGCAGTAGGCATCATGGCTCTTGCATCGTTAGTAACTGCAATTATTGTGAATGCAAAATCCATAAGCTATGTCGGAAATCGATTTGAGGCTAGAATGAGTGATTATGGAGCTGATTCAGATGCTCGAAACGTCATTGATAAGTTTCAAACAAATTATCAATGTTGTGGTGCATATACATGGCTTGATTGGGCCAATGTTGATCTTGTTGCCCCCAATGCAACAACAACCACCGCTATCACTACTTCAACATCAACCACCACCACCACCACCGCCACCTCTACTTCAACATCAACTACTACTACTTCTGGCAGTGGTAAAAGTGCAGCCTTGAATCAAGAGGCTTCTCCTGCAAATATTCGTCGACGAAAACGACAAGCCGTGTCATCATATGGCGATATCACTGGTCTACCGATCTTGTTTGGTGTCGTATTTCCTTACTCGTGCTGTACAAGTGATGCGTTAACAGTTACTGATGGAACAATTACATGTACGTAGAATTTTGTCTAGCGAATAAGTAATTTCTTTCTGTTTTCAAGATTGCGTATCGAATCAAAATGGTGCTGTCAATCATTTTTATACCAATGGATGTATAAAAGATCTTGATACAATCGCTGGTAATCAATCCATGGGTTTCGGTATTATCAACTGTTTCCTGATTGTTTTATCGTTTGTTGCCATACCTTTACTCTGGAAAATGTCAGCATCTGTATAGAGCGGAAGAATAATGTCGTTGTTATTAAAGACACTCTCATCTAGACTTTCGTCTTGGTAATTTTTTGGTGATACTGATCTTTTTCTTTTGAAATTAGATTTTTTTTATACTAAATCTGATTTTCTGTGTTAGTTTTCCGCGTTTTTCCCGCCATCATTTTTTTATAACAATTAACTTTCGATAGTGAAAATAAAAGTTGATTAAAACACACGATCGATCTCTCGTTGACAATTTGATGCATATATGATTCTCTCTTACAATTAGGTATGCACCCAGTTCCAGTCCGACTGGGTGACTGGTACCCAGTCCGACCGGATGACCCAGTCGGACTGGGTACCGGTCTGACTGGGTACCCGGTCCGACTGGATACCCAGTCCGA